GGGGGACAGGGGTTAGGGGACAGAGAGGGACACCGGGGGGCAGAGGGGGACACCGGGGGGGACGCCGGGGGACAGGGTTAGGGGACAGAGAGGGAGCGGGACCTGAGGGGGCCATCGTGAGGGGCCTGGAGGGGACACGGGCTGGGGGAACCCGGGGCACAGCGGGGAGGGCGGGCGGGAACAAAGCGCGCTGAGGGCGGGGCCGGGCCGGGCGGCGGGAGCGCCACGGGCCCGGGGCTCCACGGGCCGGGGAGGGGTCGGGGGGCCTGAGGGGCTCCGGGGGCCCCGGGGGGCTCGGGGAGTCCCGGGGGGCTCGGGGATCCCGGGGGGCTCGGGGATCCCGGGCGGGGCCGGAGCCGCCTCGCTCACCTGCAGCCCCGCGCGACGCTGGCGCGAGGCGCGCCGTGATGACGTCAAGGGTGGGCGGGACAGGAGCGAGTTAAGGGGCGGGGTCATGGGGGCGTGGTTCAGCCGCGGCTGGGGGGTGACTGCGCGAATCGTGGGGCGGGGCCTAAAGGGGCGGGGCTCGGTGGGGGCGTGGTCAAATAAGGGGCGAGGTTCAACGAGAGGAGGGGCCGCCGCTTTACGGGCCGCCTTGTTGGCCGTACTCGCTCACGGGGAACGCCATGTTGGCTGTGCTCATGGGAGCCGCCATATTGCCATGCCCCATGGAGGCCGCCATGTTGGCTGTGCTCCTGGAGGCCGCCATACTGCTCGTGCCCTATTGGGCCGCCATGTTGGCTGTGGTCATGGGAGCCGCCATATTGCCCGTGTCCCATGGAGGCCGCCATCTTGGATCCAGCCACACGTTGTCCACAGTGGGGGAGGTCCTTTAATAAGGATTTTTGTGTTCCGCCCAAACACTGCCCCCACCCCACAGGGAGGGCACCACCCCCCCCACCCCCTATCCCCCAAAGAACGAGTCCTGGGCCGGCTCCGTTTCGGTTCCGAACTGTACTGGGAGCCCCTTAGAGCTGCGGGCTGAGCCCGGGGGGGGCCGCACTGGGGGCGGGGGGGGCCGCGAAGTCGCCCCCCAGGAAGGGTCCGGCGGGGGCGGGGAAGGGCAGCAGGTGCCCGGACAGGACGAGGGGCCCGAGGGCGAAGAGCGCGGCCGGATCCTCGGGAGGGGGCTGTGGGGGCGCGGGGGGGGGCAGGGGGGGCCCCGCCGAGGGTTCGGGGACCCCCCCGGGGCCGGCGCCCCCCCCCT